AGTAGAGTAGAATCCAAGTAGAATTTGAGATTGGTGCGGAAATGCCCCTAAGAATTTTAGGAGTTGGCACATTCCAACACATCTCTGTCTACTCTGATTCCCCTAACCAACTTGTTCAGAAGAAGCTGCTTGGATGGACAGTGAATTGTCTCAAATCAACAAAAGATACAGTAGTGGCCAAAATTGTGGAAACCTTTTGTGAAAAGTATACCGTAGAAATGCCACCTTTGATTAAGTTTCCATCAATTTTTCTTCTAATTTCTTTATAACTGTAGCCTTGTTAACTTAATAATACTATTTTACATCGCTTTCTGGGCAACTAGTCAACTCTTTGCACCATTACTTTAATTTTATTACATTTTACAAGCTCACTAAATGAAAGAATACAAAAAAATCCCAACCAACTTGATAGTGATCATATAACACACTGACAAATGTCCTCCTCTCAGCTTCAATACATGACATCAATAACTGAATCCTACTGTGATCTGATTGGCTCATTGTCAAAACAAGATGACACCTGATTGGCTCTCTAAACACTCATGCTCATTGGCTACAATCAGATGAAGGAAAGCTACCGGATATCAACCTAAGCAAGTTGAGCTTCCTTTTTCTGGTTATTTGGCTATAAATTTTCATAGAATACAGTACAGATAATTGAACAAACTGTTGCATTACATTCTTGATTAAATTATCTTTCCATTGATATATAATTTTATGGTACTACTCCAAAAAAAGTGGTGTTATTAGCCATCAAACTTCAAAAATACACTTTTCCCAAAAGGTTTCCATAATTGTGGCCACTACTGTAAGTCCAGTTGCCATGATTCAGCTTCCAAGACGTTCCTTCAGAATGTATATAGCACTGGATTGCTAATCCAGTAAGCAAATGTGAACTGATGATGGGGTCACTTTAGTCATTAGTATTACTATGACTCTGTATATCTGGTATTGAGTAACAACTAAGGCAGAGTTGCTGCTCCATAAAATCTGTGTTGCAAAATATTTTACTGGCTAGAATCTTAATTTTCCCTTCACTGGCATCAGACTGATGGTTGGGTTAGTATAACTTACAAACTTTTTGTGCTGTTTACTGTGGTTGAATTGAAGGATAAATTTTGAAAGTATCATTTAGTAATACAGTATTAAATACCTAGTTTTTCCATCTACACATATATTAATCTGCTTAAAGCTCACCTTTTCCAAACAATATTATATACATGGTAACATAGAGTGTAGAGAGCAGGAGGGATACTATGCTTGTTTAAGAATTGTTATCTCTCTTCTTGGTTGCAAATTTCAGTTTTCAAATCTTTTATTTTCTTTTATTTTCCTCCTTAATATTATTACAATGAGATTATTATGACCAGCCCCTCCCATATTCTTTAAATTCTCAATTAAATGTTACCCATTTGTTGTTTATTATTCTTTATAAGAATATTCTCTCTTTTGTTTTCCTTCTGTGGAAAACATACATGTTTTCTTATATCTATCCATCAGTTTTGATAGATACAAAGGGGAAAATGTGATCCAGGACAAACACTAGGCAATATTTGTTGCCTAAGGCAAAATATATTGCTTTCTGAAACCAAAGGAGAAATGATGCTAGTGCCTTATGACTTCTGATATCAAAATAAAAGTTTATTTTGAAAATTTAACAACTCAAGTAATACTGTCTCATTTTTCCCTTATAGCTAAGGAATGAGGGACTACACTGTTAGAAACAGAGAGTACCAATTAAAGTCCATCATTTTGCTCTATAATTGCTATCTATCCTTTGTTTAAAAGCTACACTGGCAGAATTGAATTATACCAAATCCTTTTCTCACTATAAGTTCATAAAGCATTCATAATTGGTATCTTCAGGCACAGACTTGGAAATGTCACCTTTGTGGGGCAACTTTGTCATATTAAGACTAAGCTTTCCTGAAATCATGGGAGCTTAATTTATATTATATACATAGACTCTGGTTTTAGTTAGAGATTATGCTCTCAAACTACACTTATAATCATAAATTCATTTTAGTGATATTTTAAAATATTTCATTTAAGGAATTTGTCATCCACTATGCCAGATATCTATCTTATTTAACCATTTAATGAAACCACTGAGAGAATTAATCCAACATAGGGATTCAGTATATTGATGATATCCAGTTTTATATCTCTTTAGCTTCAGAAAATGTAATGGATGTCCTGATCTGGTATATGGAGGCTTTGAAACTTTGAAGCAGTCTGAGACAGAAATCTTTCAGAATATGCTGTTTATTCTGGAACCATCAGATTTGTTAGAAGCTTTGGCTCTCGATGGGTTTGTACTCCCTCTCAGTGAGTGAATCCATGATCTAGAGATTATTTGGCATCATAGCTCTTATTCAGACAATGGAGGTTGGGGCCATGGTTACTTTATCCAGTTTTGGCAGTATACAAGATACAACTGTTCTTCGAACTCAGTGCTTTGGCTACTACAATTCTCTCTTTTTGGGGTTGCCTTTGAAGGTGATTTTGAAACTTAAGTTGGTACTGAACATGCTGCCCCGTGTACTCATGAGCAAAAGTCAGTTCATTAGAATAACAGCTCTTTATCAGTTATTGCATTATAAATTTGCAGGATAAAATATTGCTTATCATCTAACCTACATGTTTGAATCTTGAAGATGTGTTGCATATCTTTGCCATCAGTGAGATGTATCTTCTTTGTGGCTGTTGTAACATTATGGAATAATCCATCCCTCAATACAAGGCTAGTGCTCTACCTGTTGATAAGAGGGAAAGAGATTAAATCTTCTTTAACTAGGCTTTTAGATTATAATTCATTGCCCAATATTTTTTTTGCCAAATATTACCAACTTGAGAGATTATCAGTTTTCTTTTAAGCATTTTCACATTGTCTGATTTTGTAGTGGTTTATTTTTGTGAGTTTTATGATTGGGGTAGCTTTGAAATCCTTCTAAATCAATCAATAAATGAGAAAAAGTAAGATACAGGCAATCCTCAGCTTATGACCACAATTGAGCCTCAAATTTTTTTTGCTAAGTGAAACATTTGTTAAGTGAATTTTTCACTTAATAATAATAGAACTGAAGTGCTTACCCATGCCAGAATATCATTCCCAGCTACAAATTAAATATATTTTTTAAAAAATTGTGTCCCTGAATATTAAATATTACAATTCTTTAGATCCAAATGTTCATTTAAAAATATTCATTTGAACCCCAACAATTTAGCATTGAGCCTTTCTAAAGGAAAATAATACATTTGCACTAATTTTGTATCCATTTTAAGCCTCTTCCCCTCTGAATTCCTCTGTCCCACTTTAGTCTTGCATGATGAACAAAAGTAAGGATGAGTTTGTGAGACAGAGCTATAGAATATTTGAAGAATCCTTGAGGTATTGCCTGTGGTCTATGAATCTTGTACAGAAGATGCTATGCAATGATTATGCATACCATATGCACATGTCTGAGATATGATGATCCAGCAAAGAAACTGCACAAATCATTCATACATAGCCCAATACTAATTTTACATCACATATGCAGTAGTTCTGAGAACTTACACAATTAGAATAGAATAGAATAGAATAGAATAGAATAGAATAGAATAGAATAGAATAGAATAGAATAGAATAGAATAGAATAGAATAGAATAGAATAGAGCTGGAAGGGACCTTGGAGGTTTTTTAGTCCAGCCCCCTGTTCAAGCAGGAGAACCTATACCATCTCAGATAGGTGACTGTCCAGTCTCTTCTTGAAAATTTCCAGTGATGGAGCACCCACGATTTCTGGGGGTAAGCTGTTCCACTGGTTGATTGTCCTCACTGTCAGGAAGTTTCTCCTTAATTCCAGGTTGCTTCTCTCTTTGATCAGTTTTCAACCATTGTTCCTCATCCTTCCCTCTGGTGCTCTGGTGAACAACCTGGCCCCCTCTGCCTTGTGGCAGCCCTTCAGATACTGGAATACTGCTATCATGTCTCTCCTATTTCTTCTTTTCTCTAGCCTGGCTAAACCCAAGTCATGCAGCGGTTCTTTGTATGTTTTGGTCTCCAGGCCTTTGATCATCTTAGTTGCTCTTCTCTGAATTTTGTCCGAACTCTCAACATCTTTTTTATGATATGGTGACCAAAATTGGCTGCAGTATTCCAGGTGTGGTCTTACTAGGGTTTTATAAAGTGGTACTAATACTTCACGTGATCTTGATTCTATGCCTCTGTTTATACAACCCAGGATTGTATTAGCTTTTTTGGTTGCTGCTGCACAATATGGTTTACTAATCAGTGTGCTGCTTTAAGTAGATTATGAGCAGACTTTTTTTCTTTGCTTGCTTGACCATCCATATGCTAGTATAAAGCAAAATATGACTGGCCAAACTATAACTTATCTGAAAACATCATAGGACATAAATTAAGAATGAAGGGGAATGTACATGTCCCAGGATAATGTTACAGGATCTAATCTGGGTCAGTCACCATCTCTGGTCCACCACTTATGACCCAGATTGGATCCTACACTATTAATTAACTTCATTAGGATTACTATCTTATTTTCCCCTAATATTACCTAACTATGAATCTTCCCTAGATATTATTTCCAATTTTTATACCCCTTCCATTTTTATGCATTAATTCCCTTTCTACTATAAGGAGGTAAAGCCATGTTTGCTGGAAGATTAAATTCCTTGGTCTTTGACTCAAGTCTTGTGAGCTTTGTCCAAAACACCAAAAACAAAACAAAACAAAAGTTGTATAATTTTCCAGCTATAAGATTAGTTAATGCCATGTTAACCTCAACCATTTATTTCTGTATAGTTTAACAACTTTTTTTTTCTTTACTTTTCCCATCAGGGATAAGCAGTGGTTAATGTGACACTATGAAATAAATAGTATTTTGGAAGGGTTATCTAATTCTTTCTCCATAATTTAGATTACGAAAATTATTAAGGAATTTGAAGATGTATTGTATTATCAATTTTCTTTTTCTCTGGTATTTTGGTATTTACAGTGATGAAGCTCCAGGCAGTCAGTTGGTTACAGATAAGTTTCACATTGACTGGGATTCTGTGCTTGTCAACTCTGATAATGTCATCATAGCTCAGTTTGACGGAAGAGGAAGTGGATTTCAAGGACTCAAGATTTTGCAAGAGGTTCACCATTCACTAGGATCAGTGGAAGTGAAGGATCAGATAGCAGCGATAGAGTACGTGTTTGCCAAATTTTATCCATTTTTTAAAATTCTCTTTTGTTATGACAGATAGAAATGCATTGTGTTTTATATCTGTACTATATTGGGTTAATGGAACTCATGCACCATTTAAGAGGAATAAAGATCAATATAGTATAAAATCTGCTTTTAGATTTTGGGGTGTCAAACTCGCAATGTCACATGACGTATCGCGACTTTTTTGCCATTACCGACAATGGGGTGGGCGCAGTTTTGCTATGATGCATCAGGCCCGCGGGCTGGCAGTTTGACACCCCTGGTCTAACTAATCTACAGTAACTAATTTACATTTTTACTAGAAAAGTATTACATGATGTGAAATGCATTCCAGATGTTGTATATTACTGAAATACAATAAACTACTTCTAAATCCTATAGGTATAATGAATAGATGATCTATTATCAAACATATGATGTTGGTCCTGCTGCAACAAAACTAAATCTACCTGATTTTAGTGCCTAAAAACAATTTGTTGTTAGTTGTGATTGCTGTCCTTTGACATTTTTTAAAAAATACCGTAAATGCCGGTGTATAAGACGACTTCCGCGAGCGCTGAAATCGGCGCCAAAGACGGGGGTCGTCTTATACGCCAAGTCGTCTTATACGCCGGAAATACTGGTAGTTTCCAGCGTATAAGACAACGTTCTAGGAATGCGGCCCGGCTATAAAGACGGGGGTCGTCTTATACGCCGGGTCACCTAATACGGCGGCATATACGGTATACATGAGTATTAGCCCTGGTTCTGTTTCAAACATACAGAAATATGGATGAATTGAATAATTACATGTGATTTAAAAACAGTGGTTAAACATTTCTGCACTATAGGCACTCTCTTCATCTCTTGTCAAACTTAATTTTTGGATTTATCATAGCCAGCCTTATATTAAGTAGTCCCTTATTACGCCTTCTCAATTCCAAGACATTCCTTGGAGGACAGAATACATGCAAAGCATTTAGCAGGTTTGATCTTTAAACTAACTTCCTGCCTAAGAGTTGTGAAGGGGGTGCACCATTTGCAGTGTTAAAAAAAGTAGGATTAATTTGCCAAGTAATTTTGTTCTCTGTCCCAAGGGATTATGAGCGTGGAGTGCACCAGGAGAATACTAAGATCAAAAAAACTCTTTTGTGTTTGCTACAGGGAGGACCTAAGCAGATTCAAACAGTGCATGCTGTTCATGCTACTCAATTCTGGCTTAATAAAACATATAAATGCACCCAGTGTACTGCCATACTTTATGGTTTTATTATATTTTTAATTGAATCCCATGCTGGGATTGCAGTTACCTAGGGTCATAATAGCTATTTAATATTTTATTTTTAAAAAACTCTTTCCACGCCATATCTGATTGATGTCTTATATGAGGGGATTCACAGTTTTGAAGATAACGACAATTTAGCAGTCTAATTCAATCAAGAAGTAATTTGTACTCCAGCGCAATAGGTAGAGAAGTAGGTGGATAGGCAGAAGACAAACAAGTAGACAAACACATATATTCTTTACATATAGAAAAAAAAAACATTGCTCAAGCATGATTTTTTTTGTAAAATACCTTCTTTATTACAGATACTTGCTGAAGCAATCATTTATTGATGGTAACAGGGTGAGCATCTTTGGAAAGGTAATTTTATTAAATGAACAAGTTGTTGCAATCTGTCAATAGACCGCTATACATTTCTGAGCTTTTACCATTTAGTTATTTAATTAGCTTCAGGTAATTATATGAAAAACATTTTTGGTGATACTCTGCTTTTAATTTCAAGTTTTCTTAAATGAGTCTGATTATTTGGGTTAATTTAGTTTGAATGTGGCACAAAATCTACTTGAGAATCCTGGTTCAAAATATTAGGAAACAAATGCCAGACATGTTATTTTTGATTTTGGCTATCTTAGCAGATTTCTGTACCAACAACTATACGTACTTTAAGAGCATCCTTGTGTTGTTGCTGTGTGCTATAAAGGTCACATTCTAAAAAACTGTTTTTAGAAAATAATGGGATTTCTGGAAGAAGAAATGAGAGATTGAACACAGCTCTGCAAAAAAAAATGGAGCCAATGAATACAGAGCCATGAGACAACCAGCTCTTTGAAACTCTCCAGACAAAAAGAGTATGTGAGATTGTCATAAGTGCTCCAAATAGTTGCTCCTCATGAGAAGCCTGCAAGACAGTGTGGTCTCCAGTGGGTTTTGAGCTTGAGAGACAAGGAAATAGCAATCTTGCTCAAACCGTGATTGGTGCCTTTAAAAGGACACTACATTCACATACTTCCTTTTCTAATCACATTTGTAAATTGCTTATTATCTACTTTTCAGTTTTTAGAAATTTTTGGATCAGCAAATCTGAAAATACACTGTTAGTCTACTTTCAGCCCTTAATGAAAGAACATTTTAACATAGAAGTGTTTTTTTTAAGGGTTGATTAAAACTTTGGTTTTTGAAAGATGAATTTAAGATTTTGGAATTAATTATAAAGAATCCCATGGGAAAATGATTTTGTTTTGATATTTTTTAAAAAATAAAATATTAAAAAGACACCAGAGGGAACTAATGACTTCAATTAAAGGAGAAGAGAACACATAAATTTGTCTGACAGTACAGAATGATGCAAAATCTGGAAATATTGAAGAATATCTTTTTGAAAAATGGAATCAGTAATTAATATTAACAGTGTCAGTAATAATATCTGCTTCTACTGATAGACTGTGTCTAAAAGACGAAATGGAAGAGGAGCAAATTTTACAAAATTCTTTGTAATTTATTAAAAAGTTTCTTGTCTTTTGAAACTACTCTGAATAATTATGTTCTACTTTCTACATATTTGAAGATCACTATCCTGGCTTTTTCTATAGACCTTCAACCATTCCTCTCTTTTTTTTTCCTTTTAATTCACTTTAAGCCCTTTATCCTGCTCATTGTTCTCCCTTGAACATGGTCCAGTTTGTCAATATCATTCTGTTTTTAAATCACATGTAATGCCCTGAACTGCATGCAGTATTTTAGTTGTGACTTTACTAATGCAGATTAAAAAGAAATTGCAACTTATTTGGATAGCAAATACTGCACTAGTACTCTTGGTGAAACCTAGAATTGAATTAGCATTTTGCTTTGTTTGAAAGGTTTCATTCAAGCTATGATTCATCAACACATATAAATCATTTTTACATGAATTTCTCTTTAGTATTCTCCCCTCAGTCCTAAACTTATACTTTTGATTCTTTTTTTTTCTTATGTAGAAATTTGCATTTGTATATGTTTCTTTCTAGTTTCTACCTATTCTCCCCAACTTTCAAAATCTCTTTCCATCTTGATATTATACTGTAAAGTATATCTTACTAACTATACAGAGCCAAGAGTAAAACCTTGATTAAAGCCATTCAACGCTATTTTCCAGATTAATATATAACTCAGCCCCAGCAAGACCAGATGGCTTTGGATATTTGGTCCTCCCAGTTCTGGGCTTTTTCCATTTTAGCTGTGAATAGGGTCACACTGCCCTGCTTGAGACTTGTGCAAAAGCAGGTGGCAGTTACTGATCAAAAGGCCTTTGCACGGGTTGAGCTAGTGTACCAGTTGTGCCCATTTCTGGATCAAGAGCCTCTCCCTATAGTCACTCATGTTATGGTCAGCTTGTGATTAGATTATTGTAGCATGTTTTTGATCCAGAAACTACAGCTGGTTCAGAATGTAGCAGCATGAGCAATTATAAGCAAGCCACATTAGACCATGTAATACCTTTGCTATTAAGTTGTGTTAGTTTCCAATTGGCTTCTGGGTACAGTTCAGGATGCTAGTTATTACCTATAAAGCCCTACATGGAATAGAGCTTTCTCCTATAGTGTCTGCCTCTTCCAGATCCTGTCAGTTAAATAGCACTCTTGAAATAGACTTCAGTATTGTGGTACCTGTTCTTTGGAACAGTACCTGTTCAGAGACCTGTATACTACTCACCTTGCCTTCTTCCATGTAATCTCTGAAAAACTGGTCGTGTCCCCAGACATAGAGCTAAATCGGCTGAGCTAAATTGGTTCCTTTTAATGGTGGGTACAATGGAGTTAAGTTGTGTGTTTTGATGGTTTCCCTCCCCATGTCTACTACAAGTGGTCCTTGAGTTATAACCATCTATTAAGGATGGTTTCCAGTCAAAATTGCCATTTAAGCTGAGAACTACTTGAATGTTTTATGCTTTGTTTTGTGTTATTTTATATTTTTTAGTATATTTTATTGATTGTTTAGAATGACAATCTTTAGTTCTTAATAAACAATGTGTTGTCTGGGTTCATATATTTCACAACAGTGAATAGTAGTTAATTTCTATACTTTCATAATCAACATATTAACTAGAAATATTTTTCCTTGGTCCTCTCTTCTTCCAATAGGTTCTCCTTTTACCAACATTAAGCAAATATAGTTCTTAATACTGTCAATACATACAGGTTTAAATATAAACATTTTTCTAATATTTAACAATAGCATCAGTATGTAATGTCTTTTCTAATTAGCTTATTTTACAGTTGCATTTGCAAAAAATCATCTTATGTAAATCATTACAGGTCTTGTTTTCAGAACTCTTATTTAAGTTTAGTTTCCCCTCAGTAGTCAAAACATTTCTTGTCAGTTATATTTTTCTCAAAATTGATTACACTTAAATATCCAAAATATTTCATTATATTACATTTAAATCATCCCAATATGTTTAGATTTCCCATATCATAATAAAGAAAGAAAAAAAAAGAAAAAAATACTATACTACTTATAGATCACATTTCTCTTACTGTAAAACCCCTTCATTTCCAAGATTTAACTATTCTTTTAACCATATTTAGACACATATGAGCCGAGGTGGCGCAGCAGTTAGAGTGCAGTACTGCAGGCCACTTTAGCTGACTGTGTTCAGCAGGTCAGCGGTTCAAATCTCACCGGCTCAAGGTTGACTCAGCCTTCCATCCTTCCGGGGTAGGTAAAATGAGGACCCAGATTGTTGGGGGCAATGTATATATATATACATTGCTTACTGGTGTACACCACTTAGAGAGTGCTTGCACTTAAAGCAGTATATAAGTCTCATAAATAAATAAATAAATGTTTGGTCATATGATATTCCATCTGGTATGTTGTCATCTCTCTTAAATCTAGCTCTCGCCTGTTCTAAGCTTAGGTTCCCTTCAGTATTCAGAACATTTCTTATCAGTTATAATTTTCTCCAAGTTGATTATAATTGAATATCCATTATTTTATATTTTATTGTGTTCTTAGGCTATGATGCTACCAGATTCATATGCGTTTCATACGGCCAGATACTGTATATCATGTATAAATGAATATTTCAGCAAATTTTAATGGCAATGTTTACAAGTATTAAAAATATATAGAACCCCACAATATATAACTCTTGGTACCCTGCACAGATTCAAAGGGAAAATGCAGTTCAGATTGTGTACATGTGCATAGGCAGCACTTTTCAGGGTTTCCTTAAAGTTGCTGCATCTTTTCCCAGGATCAGCCATCCTCCACAAACAATCCTTAGAATTGAGGTGCTTAAGGGCTCCCCTTAAGCTCTATGTGTACCTGTGTGCATCCAGAATCACATTCTTTATAGCCCCAATACAGAGGATTTGTGCAATTACATTTGCTTTGGTATTCTTGTACAAAATTAATGGCTTGGAAAAATGTAGCAGTATTTTGCTATTAAATGTCCTATTAAATTCATATTTTACATGCATAGTCACTTACAGCCCAATGTGCTCTAAGTATAACTCCCTTTTTCTACCATCTGTGCATGATATCCTTAGTTAGTCTGTCATTTGTTCTATGCTGTTGCCTCTGGCATAAATAGATGAGCCAGACAAATGATTTCATCTTTAGCAAAAAAGATTTTTACTGCCATGTCAGTTTCTCAACCTTCACCACCAAGTTCTCAGATGCTGATATTTACTTCTTTAAGTTAAAGAGGGGGAAGAGTACACTTTATGTCCTTCTTATTTACAGCTCATTCAATGATTACAACTTTGTTCCTGTTCCTTCTTCACCTATTGTGTTTCCCTGAAAATTAGCCCTAGCTTGATTTCTACCCATGTGCCTAATATAAGCCCTACCCCCAACCATCTGGTTGTACGATGTGGGGAGAGGCGCACACGTAAAAATCAAGCTAAAGCGGGATTAGGGGGTGGAGCTGCCCCATGCGCCCTGCTCCCGCTTCCCCCAGACCACTGCAGCCAGGCCTCCCATGCTCCAATACCTGCCATGCCTTGCCACAGTGACACCGACAGTCCTGTCCAGCAGGAGCCTTCGTGGCTGCCGCCGGCCCACTTCTACGGCCACTCGTGCCCATTGCCCTCCAGTTCCTGTTTCGGCGGCAAAGGCCTGCCTAGTTAAATGGATTGTCCTAGTCATATTTAATGTTGAATTAAGCTCACTCTGAATATCCATGTACAACTTTAGCAAGCAAACAGCATCATAGTTCTCTGAATCAAAAACAAGAGGCATGTGATTATTGTTTCAGTAGCACTCACATATTTGTGGTGATATACTGATACTGACACGAAGAAAAACGAATGAGACCAAATACTTTTACAAAGGATTTTTTTCATTTCCACTTTCCTGTTTTTTACTTCCTACCAGTAGGCTGCTGAAGGAAAGAGATTATTTTGCTCACTGGTACAAAGTTTTGAAATTAGACTCAGGGCTGTATGACCATTTTTGATTGCCTAAACATGATTTATCAAGAGCAGCTTTATAGTACTCTACATTAATGAAAATGATTAAAGAGCTATAGTAATTCCTCTTGTGTATGTTTAATAATGGTGTGCAAGCATTTCAGTAGCATGCGGGATATTATTGGACGTTCTTCAAACTGTATACTGAAGCAAAGCATCTTCTACCATTTTTTAAAATTAACTTTTGATTTATGCCTACAGAAGCATAAGAAAAAGCATAGAAATAGAAATAAAATCTATGGACATGTATAAGAAAGAATAGTCTCATCAAGGCAATAATGAACACATTATAACTCGTATCAGTTATTTCCTAGGGTTATGGAGGCTACCTTGCATCAATGATTCTGAAGTCCAACGAAAAACTTTTCAAGTGTGGAGCTGTGATTGCACCAATTACCGACATGCGACTGTATGGTGAGTGCATTGTGTCATTCTGTTTGTTCCTCAGATAGCTCGTTTTCCCTTTCTTTATTGAAACTGAGACACTATATAATATTATGAATGCAGGCACTTCATTCAGAAAGCCCCTACTTAAAAAAAAGCACAATCAGGTTTAGCATAAATAAATAAATCTGCATTTAAAGTGGGGTAGTGTCCTTAGTGCATTTCTACTTTTCCACATCACATACCAATCGCTGCCCCATAACAGAGCCAGATGTAATCAAGATGTCTGCATGTTGCTCCCCGCTTTGCCTGCTGATTGGATGGATTTCTTTCAGAAGGCTTCAAATGGGATCATGCTGGATAATGAGCCAGAAGATTTTGTTTTCTGCTAAAGATAGTCTGCATCTCATCTCCACTGGGTTTCCTAGCAGAGCTTAAATATATTTGGCCATTCGTGTTAGTACGTTCCTCCAAAAGTAATTTAATAGCTATTAAGTTTTCCTATTTCCTATGTACAGCATCTGCCTTTTCAGAAAGATACCTGGGCAATCCATTTAAGGAAGAAAATACCTACCAAGTGAGTAAGAGATACTATGGCTCTAGATGGGGTGCCAGAGGTAATCGAAATGCAAATCAATCACAGATATGCATGTTTTCTCCTTTCCAAAAGGCATCCAGCGTATTACACAATATTCATGGCTTTAAGGAAGGAAATTTGTTAATCATCCATGGGACAGCGGATAGTGAGTATTTACACAAAAGCACTTTCCTAGTTGGTCTTCTGCAGATGTTTAGTAAAGGATAAGCATGAGGCACATTCCCGAGCATATGGGAGCTTTATAATACTTGGTTTTGCCTGCCCTTAGATATCCCATTGTGAGACTCCATTGACACTTTCCTGTCCAAACAAGTGAACATTACTGTTTTGTAACCCTCTGTAGCAGTAGGGACCAATTTTTAAAAAAACTTTATGAAATGCAATGCCTTGGTTGGAAGGCAACATGCATTAATAACTGTTCAACATCAAAATTTAATCATCACTTCAATTATTCCTGTTCTGCCACTGGCAAATTGTGTAAGGTGAAACAAAGATATACAATTTGTAGTACCAAACTGACCTAATTGATACATACATAAAGCTAGATTATTGAAATTTCCTAATTAAGATAGGCTATCTTTTTTCATGGCTTCCATTCAGGCATGTAAGACTGTTTACAAAATAAATCTTTGCACCTCACTTCTATGTTGCTATTTCCTCTCTTTGCTCTTTTTCTTTGGGCTGCATAGCTTTGTAGTCATGTTCATTACCTATTATAGCTTGTGTGCCCATTCCAGTCCTGCTTCACTGAGCTATGGTAAGATTGACATTTCCATATCTCACAAAGGAATTCTGTGGGAGGGAGTCATCAAAAGATCATTGCTTCCCACTTCTATATGTTTTCGCTGTATTCATGCTTCAGACATTCTTTCCTCTTACATAAGAGGAGATTGCAATAAAAACGCTGTCATAGCTCCGACTAATGAAACACTTCAAAGAACTTCCAGGCATTGTTTTGCTAAAAAGTCTTTATTTTGTTTTCAGAGTGTTGGGAACAGCATGGAGGGATGCCAAGATCTAAATTCTCTTCCCCTGAGCACATATTTTGCCAGCATATTTCCCTCCCTTAATTTGCTGTCATAAATCACAATCTCCAATCAGTTAGAAGGCCAAAGGTTCCCTTCCATTTTTGGCAGCGTGGGATTTTTATCTAAAGTAATTCCCCACACACATTCTTTCTCCTCCCCTCTCAGCATCATCTAAGTTAACTCTAAAAATACCACACAGCTCTGCATGTTTTGTCAAAACAAGAACATCCAATGTTAGCAGCATTGACAAACACAGTATGTGAAATGGATGAAATTTAATGCTTAGTGTAAGATATATAAATAATATATGGATAGCTAAGATTCTTTTCCTGCATTTGATGAGGGTGCCTGGCTGTAGCTTTGAAATGAGCTTTTCTGCATTTCTGCATACTAGATTAAATGTTTTTTTTTTCTTTGTGGCTGAAGTGGCTGCCTTACCAGGTGGCACTGCTCAAACTAAACAAGTGCTTAGGCACTCCAGGCAGGAGAGTTGAAAAGTGCATAATACATTTGGAAATTATTGAATATAGCATTGATGTGAAAAAATAGCAGCCTATTTCATTTATAGTTGTGAAACAAAACAAAAATTCACAATATTTGTTTTCCTAACATCATAAAGGATATATAAGAAAAATATATTTGCTGCATTTTACCAAGGGGATTTTCACAAAGATAGCTTAGTTTCTTAAATTACGTCCCTAAGAGGAAAATTGGAAATTACAAATTAAAGAATGGAGGGAGAGAGGAAGGGAGGGAAGGAGGGAGAGAAGAAGGAAGGAAGAGGGAAGGAAGGAAGGAAGGAAGGGAGAGAGGGAGGGAGGGAGGGAGGAGACTTTGATTCTTAATTTTCTATATTCATCATTTTTCATGCTAAATACATGCTTTCTTTACCATTCAGCTACAACCATGTTTGAGCTTTCAGCATACATGAAGTATTTTAGTTTTATTAAATATATTAACTGACATTTATGTTAAATATTAAACAAAGCTGTGGTTTACACAAATAGGCACTTCCTATTAGTACAACTATCTTCAGGAATCAGAGAACCTTGTCACCACATGACAAGTGAAAGGGCCAGTTTTTTAATCCTTTTTTTTTTTCCAGCAACAGCATCAACAGCTTGTGTTTTGGAGATCAGAGAAGATAATGAGGCAGTAGGGTAAAATGGGATTGGGAAAATGCTTGACATGCCTGCATGTATAAAAACTGAGATCGTATCCTGCTAACGTCCTTGGTCAGGCAATGGTCTCCTCTTGTCCTTCTTGGTCAGACTTGAAGATTCATCCCTACCTTGCTTCCAGCCTCCAAGACTGCCCCTTTCTAGGACATTGGTTAGATGCAAAAGAATTAAAATAATATTAATACTGGGCCTGGTATAGATGTTTTGCATCTCACTCATTCCTGTGTGACACATTTTATATGTTTCTGTATGCTTCTAATGAGTAGCTAAAACCCCCTCCAAACAGAACTAGACAGGTTTCCATATCTTGGGAGTGTATTAATCAAACTGAAGTTCATTTGATCAAAACTATATTTAAAAAATATACACTTAAAGAAAAATAAAATCAATTTATCTGGAATGGGCTATTAAATGCAATGTGTCCAACCCATGACCCATGGGCTGCATGCAGCCCTGGACAGCTAGTAATGTCCAGGTTCACATAATAATAAAAATATTTTAAAAAATAAAGGAAGTTTGTTATTGATATACATTAACTATATTGCATGTTTTACACATGGCCCAAGTCATTCAAACACAGCCCAGGCAATTCAAAAGGTTGGACAACCACTCTCTGTATCATTGTAAAGAACATTTTTACAATATTTAATAATGTTTCCAAAATAACATTTCAGAAGTTGGTAGAAAACTGATAACAGTAAAATAAAAGGGAATATTAGTTTAATAATTAGGTTACACTTCAGAATTCAGAAACAACTTATCTTTATTGTAACTACCTATGTCAGCACCTACACACTCAAAATGTTCTGAACCTTGCCAACATCTGAGAAATAATACCTCTGTTATACAATATCCTTCAGAATTTTTTTATACACAGAATATCAGAATAGCAATGTGGTTGAAGTACAGCTATGTTACCTGCAGTTTGAATAGATATGCCATATAAATATACAGTATAGTAGTACATGCCTGGGAATAAGTCCTGTTGAATTACTGTAGAAGATTTTAGTACACAACAGATATGGAAAGGATTGCATTGCAGATTGTCTAAAAAAACCTCACAAATCCATTAACTATCTACATTTTCAGTCAACTAAACCCCCAAAGAGATACACAATGTAAATGAGGTGAAATGAATTTATGACATGTACAGTACTTACAATCACTCTGCTGTACTTTTCTTATAAAATCAAAAATCTAAAATTTCTATTTTCTTATACTTAATAGAAAAAGCATTTTCACTAAAATCTTTATGTTGAGCTTATCTGCAGAAACCGTTGGATATTAATAATGTCTTTCGCTAATTCTTGGATGTTATTGTCCCACAGCTAAAGTCCATTTTCAGCACTCAGCAGAATTAATTAAACATCTAATAAAAGCTGGAGTGAATTATACTATGCAGGTATGTAATATTTAGGAATGTCATAGTTTTTAGATTTAGAAAATTTATTACGCTCTTTGTTGCATGTATTTGCAATACATCTTGGCTGTGTATCTATATATTCCTATCTATAACTTAAACAACTTTAACAATTTTACTCAAAATAGATCCAGTAAAAGAGAAAGAAAAAAATGAATATTTTAATAGTAAGAGCAGAATATAAATTATAAAATGTATAATATTTAGTTTTTACCACAGTTTGTATCACAATTAATATCGAAATAGTCTTATACCATACTTTTTAAACTTGAAATATTTGCCTACATATTAATACTGTATATTTTTCATCAAAATATTTTCTAAGACAGATCTGAGACATGAAAAGAATATAATGAGAAATGTCTATTGTATTAATGGACTTCTGTTTATGTGATGATGGATGTAGTACATAGAGGCAGAAATGTTAAACTGAACACTGAAAGCAATATACGGTAGTTGTCTATTGCCTGTAAAACCTCTAAATCTGTCACAGATCCAGCAGTAGAATTGTACACAGATTTGTTAAAAATCAGACTTTTCTGAAACCAAATTGTGTTTGAGCTGAACACCTATTGCTGTTTGAAAATTTTAATTATTTGGTATACTGTCTTTAACATTTAGAGACACAGTGGTATTTTTCCATGAATTACAACATAAGCTATGGCTAAGGACTACAGTTATTTTCACCAATGCTTGAAAGAAACTATTTATTTTCCTTTAAACTTGAAAATTTAAATAAGGAATGCCATTTTAAACAAAAACATTTAAAAAATCTTAAATACCAGAAATGTTTTGTGCATGCTGTAAAATGATGGTGTAAATCAGAGCTGGGCATTTTACAGCCCCAGCCCTTTGGCTATCTCTGTCCTGTCCATGTGAGGTCAATTGGAAATTAGAAATCAAGTGTAAATAAGTATGCCATGGGGAGATGGGAGAAGAAGCTGAGTGGGGTCTGGTTCTGCACCATCCCCCTGTGCTCCTTCATTTGGCTAATGGCTGTGGAAGGGCGAGGAGAGAAAGCACTTTTCTGCATCTGCAGGGCACTCCTTCCCTCACCTGGACCAGCTGAGGAGTTGAGGTGATGGAGTTTGAGGACATCAAATCAGGTACATTGGTTCGGCCTCCATAATAGTCCCATCTTTCATATAGCCCCTTGGGAAAATTACACCCCTGGTTTAAACTATAAAATAAATATATTTCACTTTTGAAATTTAGATGTTTTCAATGAATCCACAATATTGTCAGATGCATTCATTCTGTGATGATACAAATGCATTAAAAAAAAACCTTGTCAGTCAGTTTTTAAAATCTATTTATTTTTAATTTTTAGATCTATCCAGATGAAGGTCATTATATTACATCAGAGAAGAGTAAATATCACCTTTATAGCACAATTCTCAACTTTTTTAGTGCTTGTTTAAAGGGAGAAACACCCATTTTACCACAGGAAGTAGAAGACGATGAATAAGGAATGAAGACTAGGACTTGTATGAGGATCACTACAACCATATTTAAAGTTGACTGTAAAAAAACAGATTCTTTGGGAGCCTGAGGGCAGTCAAAGATTATAGCAGCGGAGCAGCGCATTTTATGACAATGGGCTAAAAAACTGGGATTTGAATACACAAATCCATGTGTGATGAAGGAACAAATCTTAAACCTTTGTGGAAGGCCAAAGGTCGGATGCAGTTTTCTGAAAGATATTAATTTTGCATAAGAGTAGAGTTAGTGCATGTTGATTTTGTTACGATTCACTGTTGGTTCAGTATGTAGTTGCTCTGTTTTATTTAGTATGCACATACCTTTTTGATTTCAGGATAATGCACACTTTCATAGGCCACTAATATTTGAAGAAGGGACTTGCAGTCTTAACATTCAATTGTAATTTTAGATTAAGTGCATTTTTTCCACTGTTAAGCATCAAAATATTGAAAAAAAATGCATTTTTAGTTGACTGAAAAACACATCAGATAAGTAGACTTTAATTTTATGCTGGTTTATTGAGAGGGCTTCACCCAAAATGTCAGTTGTTCATACCAACTAAATCAGTAAGCAAAACTGCAGTAGTATATGCTTGGACTTCATGTATATACACAAGACTCCTTCCACAACAGTAACAACAACAAAAAAGCAATGTCCACTCGCATATTTTGTCAGGCTATAATTACACCTATGTGTCAATTGACATCAACAACTAAAATAATTCCCCAGGTAAAAGTTGCATATTTTGAGTTACTAAGAAATGTTTGGGTTGTGCTTTTTCTTGTATTGTTTACAGTATTTTGCTGGTTACACTCTAATTTTAGAGTACATTACTTTGTCACTTGTAAATTAGATACATGAATATTAAATTATAGTTTCAGATAAAGAGATTTTATTAACAATGTAATGCCATAGAGTAATACTTTGCTGAGCTATTTTGTAAAGCTGTTTTTCCCCCCTTTCTACATACTGGCTGGGATTTCATTTTGAACTTCAGTGGTAGCATATTGCAAAGAGCTATCTGTCAGGATTTTCTTTTGTGCTTCACAGCTGTTCATTGAGTCTGTTGCAAGAATGATTTAAACTCAGCTGAATATGTTGGAAATTATTTGTCTCCATGTAGTTTCAAGAAAGCGTCTGATAAATGATTTTTATTTTATTTTTACTTTATTTCATTGAGATGAAAATCCTGTGGTGCATCCATGTATTTCTCAAGGTGAATCACACCCTTAAAATGATGCCATGAAATAAACAAACCAGGGAACTTTGGCCATTAAAATATAACTGAGATCAAGTGCTATATTCATTTAATTTTTGAGACCATTTGAGTATGCATAAGTGGGGCAATTCTAATGGTTTAAAATTCCACTGCTTAATATATTTTCCAGGACTGGATTCAGTTAAAAAGCCTCATTCTTACAATTTTCAGGATATTTTTTTAAATTATGTTTACCCATTTTTGCCCTGTGTTTCAACACTTGGATGATTTAAAGCATACATTCTATTTTTAAAATAATATTCTTAATGCATCTTTTCTTCTTTTTTTATTTTGAAAATTACTTGTCTGAAATAGTAAATTGCATACATATATTTTTGCTAAGGGTAAAAATTCAATTTTCTTTATAAATCAAAAGAGATGCTGTTATAGAGTATACTGTATGTGAAATATAGTTTATGATTTTATAGAATTTATATACCTCCAAATACGAGGGTGCACATACTTAGATTTGCTCACAATCTTTCCTGGAACTCACCATGAAACTATGTCTCAAAATCCAATATGTATTAATCCACCAATTACCCATATTTCAGAATAATATCAATTAAATTGAAAAACGGGTTTTTATTATAGAAACTAATAAAAAGTTTAAATATACACACCATTAAAAGAGCAGCACAATGACAAACATTTATAAACATGGTAATAAAATGTGGGAATTTAAAAAAGAACCTTGAGACTGTTTTAAACAGAACTACAAAAATCTCACCAATTTGGTTTTTTTTTCTTTAAACCCTATTTTAAAGAAATAGAAAATTAATTTCAGTCTTCCACTGAATTAGCAGAATAGGCCATTCCAACACATCATTTCAGTTGTCATTATTTTATGACCTCAGGATTAAACTAAAATAAAATGACTGTCTCAAAAGGTACAGATAATTCCTTCAGAACTGCTGATAATTCTTTCTAAATGTTGTGAAGCTTTAAAAGCAAAAATTCTGTCTGGATTCAAATAAACCTAATAACAAGTACTGAAGATGATTGTTCTGAAGGCAATCAAACAATAGATCCCAGGTATCACAAAAAGCCAAGCTTATCTAAAACAGTTTTGCGTGCTATTTTTAATTTATAGTTCTTAGCATATAAGCTTCTCATGGATATATGAGTCAAATTTAAATCTATGACTTAATCTTTTCCATATATCTTTTCTAGCATTAATTGCAACTATGAAAACTGATCTCTGCACAAACAGGAATCTCAGTATTTGCCAGGACTTCAGTGGGGTCAAATTATAAACCTCTAAAAGAAACCCCAAGAAGAGTTGAATTTTGAAGTTCTTCAGTTCAGACAGTTAGCAAAACTGAGATCCATGCCTCATGATAAATATGGAAGCATAAAAGTTAAATCCTTAACTGGTAATCATACTTTTGCAGGATATTTTTTTTCAAATAAATATATTCAGTATTTTATATATATTTTTAAAATAATGTTATGAAACAATTATGGGGAAATCTGTCAGGCTCTAAATCAACCATGGGATTATATTCATATTAACTGCATGTATCTTACCCAAGTTCTCTAGGGAATTTTAAACAACACTAAAATTAGATTAATTAAAACTAAGTCTAAAGTCTACATTTAGACTTTTATTCCCATCAAATGAGAGAATAAAGTTAAAATTATCAGTTGAGTAGGGTTCCTCAAAATTCATTTTCAAGGTAATGTATTGAGAATATAACTTAATTCTTGTACTTTTCCAAATTATTACTGTGTTCAAGTGGCATCAAGTCCAATTTATTCCAGATTATTAAAAAACTGGATTGGATTTCAGTCTCACATACTAAAAGAAAATATATTTGGTAATTTATGCATGAAACCTATTAGCAGCCTACATATTTATGTCTGAAGTCCTTGGTGCGCTCTGAGCTTGGCTGCAGAAGTTTCATTACCCCACTAGGTAACATCATCACTGTCTTTTATGTTTGCCCCATCATCATCTGTAATTACAGTGATATTTTTAGAATTTTCTTATGTGGACAAGGGACTCTAAAGCCAAATTAAAGGGAAAAGAAAGAGGAAATCCTTAAGTGCATCTCAATATAAATTTAAAGAAAAATAAAGCACACTATTAATGTCACTTAGGAGCTGAATGCATTATATCAATCAATAGAGCTTTGCAGATACCAAAAAGGAATCAAAACCCACTTCAAAAATTTTCAAGGTTTTCTCTGTATTCAAAATCATCTACAGTTGCTGATTCTTATATATTTTGAAGAAACTTAAGAACATCAATTATAAGTCCGTCATTACCCAAAAAACAGACATTGTCTAAATTCAGTCTGAGCAGAGTTGGAAGGATGTCCTCGACTTAACAGGCCCAAATAACTGTTAAAACCTTGTTTGCAGAAAAGTCCATAAAAATTATAATTAAGCCCTCAAAATAAAAATATAGCCTGGATACAAATAATAACAAAAGGAGGAAAAAAGAGATTCTTTTCTTTCTACCAGAGCTTAAAGTCATGATATATTTTTGGAGTGCCATCAAATTATCACTGATTTCTGAATCCCGTTTAATAATTTCAGAACAACTGTGTTAGGAAAACCAATGAACTATTGAAGAGTCTTCCCTCAAACAATATTTCTTGTTTTATTTAACATTTTTCCATGTTGTATTTCCTCAGTAGAATCATAGAAAAACATAACAAAGATTTTATCTACTTATCTGATTACCATGCATGTGGAAATTTTCATTATTGTGGCAGATCTAAGGAACCTACGATAAATGACCTGGCACTTTCGTTATGTAGTTTCTTCCAGCACAGTTGATGCTTTTCGGCTTCCTTCAGGAACCTATTATCACACAGATTAGCCCAACAAGAATGAGATTCAAAAAAATTTGATTTTAATAAATCACTTATAAATGTGAAGATTCAATATGAACATATGAAGAGTCAACAATTTCCCACAATCTTCCAACTGATTTATTCTGTTCCCATTTTATCTATTCTGGTACTTAACGGTATTAACAGAGTCTTTAATAATGTCTTTTATCCAAATCCCCAAAATAGCTGTCAGGATTTTCTCAGCAGCTACTGACCCTGTTGCTTAAAAGGGGGCAGACCTTTCTTGGGCACAATCCAGGCTGATAATGAACAAACATTCCCCGCTACTCAACAGATGCTGTTATCACCAGTTTGTATTGCTATTGGGTCAGATTAAGTCAATTCAATTTAAATGTCTTTGGTTGCATGAGTTGAATTTCCGCATACTTTACGATTTGAATACAAACAGTTCAGTGTCTGATTCACATCAGGGATGCTCAGACAAATACATTCACTTGCAAATAGATTCTGGGGAAAAATGAGTAAGGCATACTTTGAAAAATATTGAGATGTTTTATTTCAACATGTCATTGCTTTCATGATTAAGCCACAAGGAGCCAAGATATTTTGTTTGTTCTTTTTTTGTCAAATTTAGGAACCACCCATCTCTCAGAATACTATATACAACTGTTTTGCTAATTTCAACTATAATTTGGTACAAAACATGGGACAGTAAGATGTAGGACCAGGTAGTTCAGTAAATAATATAATAAATTTCAGTTGTGCTAATTAAAGCTATTCTAAAGCTTGTATTAGATTCTCCTTAAAAATAGAGGAGATGCAGTTGTAGTTGTACGTTGACATTTTCATTTCAATTATAAATATTTCAAATTATAAATTTCAAATATAATTTCATTAGGTCAGATTGTTTATAATTAATCAGGACTGTGAAGTAAGCTCACTCCTGTCAAAATAGTAGAACTGTCCTTATATAGAGAATATATATATATATATATATATATATATATATATATATATATATATATATATATATATATATATATATATTCTATATATAGAAATATACATAGAAATGCTAATGAATAGATAACCCAGTGGTGATGAAGAAACATATTGCTCCATTCTGCACTTGCTACAGCTTCATCAGAGTTTCTCCTTTTCTTCAGCTATGTTTTGAATTTAAAAATACATGTTGCTCAGAGCTGCAGGTGGGCAAATACATGTTGAACAGTTGCAGTCACCACTTTGATTAGAGAAAAAAGATTTCTTTGCATAATAGGAAGAAAGAGATTCTGTGTATAGCACATTATACTTGGAAGAATAATTTCAAATGATACCCAGTTCATCACAGAGTTCTACATACGGATAGAAAACAAGAAAGGCAGACCATTTATACTTATAAAAGGAGAAAACATTAAAAGGTAAGTATTCTTTGAAATACTTCGGAAGGGTTTGTACCAAAATAGTGTTGGAAATGAAAGGGACACTTGGTTTATACATTTTTATACATGCGTCTTTCCTGTTGTACGTTTTTACATTTTATTATTTTGGCTTGCAAGCACTTATTCAAAATTATTCTTAGATGTTGTTAAACCTAATGACAAGTCAGGTCTTCAGATTGCATCCATATTCTATGATCAGTCACAGAACCAAAGAAGAAAGAAATGAACCAATAGCTGACAAAGAAAAGAGATTTTTGCACATCCCTCTCTTTCAATCCCAGGGGATGTTTGGCAAATAATAAAAGATACCTAGTTCCTGAATATTAGTATTTTACAACAGACTGAAAAAAGCATTGGTGGGATTT